AGTGTGGGGTGGGGGGAGCGGCGGCGCTGCTAGAAGCGGCGGCAATGGAGGAGTTGGGGCTTAAAGGCTTGGTGGGGGAGAGGGTTAAAGGTTTGTGGGAGGTGGAGATTGGGGATTTAGGTTTGAGGGTTTAGAAAATTGGGGTTTTGAAGTTGAAAAATCGGGAGAAATGGGGAGGGCAGGTCTGTCCCAATATACAAGCTGATCTCTTTTTTTTTTTAAAGGCCTGGACCAAAACGACGTCGTTTTGGCCAGGTCTTTTAAAAAAATTTCGGTGCTGTGCAGCTGGCCCAAAACGACGCCGTTTTGGCCAGCGCAGTTTTTATAAAAAAAAATTCGCTACCAAAACGACGTCGTTTTGGCCAGGTCTTTTAAAAAAATTTCGGTGCTGTGCAGCTGGCCCAAAACGACGCCGTTTTGGCCAGCTCCTTTTGAAAAAAGAACAGATTTCTGTTCATCTTCTTCTTCCTCAATACCTCTGCAACTTCTTCTCCAGCTTTTCATGGGGTCACAGAACAATTCAAATGAGCCTTCTACCTTACTTTCTTGGAGTCCATAGGGTCGTTTGACCCCATTGACCCCACTGTGGGTCCGTCCCTGCATAGATTATAGATAGCATAGCCTCCTGCTCACATTATTTATTAGTTCCGGTGCCGTTTTGGCCTTTTCTGCTGGCTTAATTGCTGTGGTGAACAGATTCTCCATCGGTGCAATGAAATCAACATTCATAATTTCAATACGCATGCATGGTGGATGGTGGGTCAACCTCAGAGTTGGTGCTGAGATTTTGAGGATCTTGTGTGAAATTTAAACGAGAGTCCTTAATTTAATACAAAAATATTTATAAAAAAACACCATAAAACAATTTTTTTAATAATTAAATTAAAATTCATCATTTATTAGTATGCAATAACATTCATAAAAGTTTTAATGTTTCAATTTGAGAAAATGGAAGAGGAAGAAGACATGAACTTTTTTTGTTTCGTTTTGAATGGGTGAAAACATACAGTCCAAATTCTTTTGTTTGATTTAAAAAAGCTTGTACATATTGCTTTCCTCTTCTTTGACGTGTTTCCTTTTTCTTTTTCTTTCTTCTGTTGTTAACAATAATAAATAAAAAAATAAAAAAAGTAGAAATGTAAAAGTACAACTACTGCATGACACAACATAGACTTGAATCCAACTTGCCTACTAAAATCAAGGGTATGAATTTCAACTCAACCAAATACCAAGGGCGGAGCCTACTTCCTTATATATTTTAAAAGTAATATACTATTATGTATTTCTATATGTATATTATTTCAAATACTTTACGTTTTGATATGTACCAACATGTGTTGTGGCAGATCTATTAAGATATAATGAGGTGCTACAAATTGTCCCTTTGCTCAGTTGGTGGTGGTGCACTCCAGGTGTACATATTACCTTATTTCCATTTTTAGCATTTAAGTAAATGTCATTGTCCTTTTACTTTCATTTATTTTTATATTAGTCCATTTACTTAAGTTTACAATGTAAATAAGGAAGTACCCCCTATTTGGATTCAAATAAAAATATTAGAAAATCAAATTCCCACCAAATCAAAATATGAAAAATTGATTTTAGTGCAAAATACGATTTAGTCTAAAAATGATGGCTCATTAAAATATATACTTTATATTAATCCCATAAAATCAAGTTTTCTTATATGATGTGT